TTCTTTATTTTGGCCAGTAACTCCAACCTTGCCTGCTGAAATTCAGCTACTTCAGAACTGTCATAGGAAAGAAATCTTATCTATTTCTATAGAATAAATTCTATACATTTTACCCATCCAGAGCCTCTAGGAAAGTCAGGATGCAAGCAATAGTCTCTTTTCCATTTCATAGATATCATATCCAAAAAAATCACTGCATTGTATTACCTCATATAAGATTATACTTTTAGTCTGCATTCTTATAAGAAAAGAATTACATTTATTAATTTTTAAATATATTGCACACTATTTTGCTCTAATATAGGGACACAACTAATATATTCATCTAGACAGTAAATTCTCCCCATCCAGAAAAGACAATTTCTACTCTCAAGACATAATAGCTACAAAACTAGAATATTAATTTTGATCATTATCCACAGAATAATGTGGAACTTTTAATTGCAAGATTGCATACATGCAGAGCAGATAAATGCACAAGAATAAGGGTTTCCTGAAATATTTCAGAGGATGTAGATTTGGAAGAAAAGTAAGGGGTTCTTCCAAAGCTGTCGCATTTTCCAAAGGAGTACATGATTGAAGGAGCATGAGCATCCACACACTTTGCAGAGCTTCTAAGCCCAGTAATGTTGTGATGTTGGAAGGGCACTCAAAATGTCATCCAAAGCATTTCTGCACTTCAAGGCAGTATCAACTATATATGTATCATTCAAAATAAATTTTCTTAAAAGATCTCCCAATACGGAAACTTAATTTCCCCAGCCAAAATTGTTCTGCATTCCTTTGGTATCCTTACTATTAGAAAGCTTTTCTTTTTTTCTTTTTTTTTTTTTTCTTTGCACCAGCTGCTTGCACTTGAGGACGCTGTGTATCCCAATCAACTTTGTCTTTTCTAGACTATGCAATCATAAACAGTCAGTTCTTTTCTCAGAGGCTACTTTTACACTTGTCATCATTCTCACTCTTGACTCTTTACAGTTAGTAAACAGTTTTAGTGAAGGGCTGCAGCTCCTAAATCTACATGCAGTTCTTAACTGAGGCAAGGCTGAGCAGATTGTCTTGCAAGCAATACTTCTATAGATCTATCAACAGGCGTTTTGTTTCCCCTTTTTAGTTGGAAAACAAAAATCCATGTTCCTTTTGTGAGCTGTTATAATCTCAAGATCCTTTCTGGTAAACTATTGCCCAGATGGGTAGCTACTTGTACCCCATCTTATTTTTAGGTAGCTGAATATCCTTAAACTGCATTAACCTTGTGGTTAACTGTATTAGTTTTGTGCTTATCCCTATCTTTCAAATCATAACTCTGACACATGAAAGCTTTTTAAAGGGTCTACTCCAGCATTTTGAAGCCTCTCAGAACTAGGCAGTAGTTGCAGACTTAGTATTCCATTATCCAGGTCATAAGTGAAAATACTGAGGTAAACAGATCCATATAGATGCTCATAGAATTCTCAATTACCCTATTTTGACACTGAGTATATGTATGAGTATATTCTATATTATAAATAATTATTTTATAAATTATATCTTATATTGTTAGTACGTTATATATATATATATGAGTATAAATATATATATGAATATGAATATATATGTTTCCTTTCTGATCATAAGTTTCCAAATGGTACTGAAAAACAGACCATCCATTCCATTTATGTAGGAAAAGATTTAGATATTTCTGGCTGAAAAATAGTAGATACTTATCAGCTGTAAGCAAGAAAAGCACAGCATATGGTCAAAATTTTAATCTGTCTTGCTATAAGGTGTCCACTATGTGGACAAATGGGTAAGAACAGAACAAAGTGAAATTTCTGTATGCTTAATGTGAAGCTTTCCACCAAAGGATTCATTTGACACAGTAAACATACAGATTATTCTGACTAGTTTCACAAAGTAATAATTCTGAGAATAAATTGAATAAGATTATTTTAATTGGAATTGCAAGAGGCATGCGAATGGATGCTAAAGAAGTCATAATTCAACAGGCCACTAATTCTTAAAGTCTCCTTAGTTTTATGAAGAAGATCCAATTAAATGAGAAACAATTCCTCTTTAATTTGAAAGACAGGCTCTTACTTCCAATTGCATAAGGAACTTGATCGTGACGCACTGATGCAATTCCCATTCAAGGAGAAAAGTATTAATTAATGTTTTAACAAGCAATCCTGCACCACTTACTGGTCTGTCAGTTCTCTAAATACCAAGGAGGCTAAACTTAGTTTATTTATAAGATGATATGAAATAGGAAGAAGTTTGTGCAGACGAGAAGAGATTTAATGCAGTGAATAGGTCAGCACTAACACGTATTTTTAAATTTTAAAATTTACAGCTTAACTATCCCAAACACAACTACTACTTGAGATCATACTGCTGTACCTATCTTGCTCTGGAAGGCTTTTTTTCTAGAACATGAGAAAGGAATTTACAAAGAAATACAAAAGAACACAGCATCAGCTAAAAATGGTAATAAATGATGAACCTTGTGAAATTCATGTCTGTCTTAATGTCTGTAGAGAGCATCTTTAACCAGATTGCACAGTTCCATACACCATGACACTTGTGACATTCATAAGATCAGACAAGCACAGGTTTCTGTACTGAGGCAAAGAAAAAGATTGTTGTTAAAACCCTAGCAGGTAGATGTAATTGTCAGAATAAAAGGCAAGAGGAGTTGAGAGCTGAGAAAAAGCATGAGAAAGCACAAATGAAGCCAGCAAAACCAATAGTTTTACAGTAATCTACAGGAGCTTTCTGCTACTATCTACTAATAAACCCTTCTGTAACTAAAGAAAATGCCTCTCTACCACTGTATTGCTTGGATCCCACCAAGACTGACCCATTGGAGCCAGTCCACAGACGTCTGGGCTTTCAGAGAGACAAAGAAAAACACAGGACCATAGGAGAGGACCAACTGTCTGTAAAAATATTCAGTTGCTCCTATGAGTCATTGAAAAGGGAAAGGTGGAAAGACGGGATGTACAGTACAAAAATGCTTCTATACTTGATTAAATTCAAGTTTCATTTGAATTCTAAAAGATGATTTACCCTTAATTTTTACACTGACCAAATGATGGAAAGTTTAATAGTGTGGACCACAAGTTTTTGATATTTTCATAGAAAGCTTGACAATTCCCATGGTTTGTAACACCATGATCATAATCCCATGAGTTTTACAAACTAGACATAGTAATAGATATAACTAAATTCATCTCCTAGAGGATTTATTTTTGTATTTTCACACGGTACTTTTTTATTTCATTAATTTTAGTAAATATAACCCTAGTCTTAAAATAGTAAGTTTACATTTAATAACAAAGCAATAACTCAAAGACTGACATAAATAAAGAAGATATCTTTGTAAGAAAACATAGGTTTCTCACAAGTAACAGTACTTATTATTATACCATTATTTCCTATCTTGTATAGAGTAACAATTACCCAATTCTATTTTGGATAAAGTTAAGAGAGATCATTAAAAGTTCATGCTGCCGTAGCAACTAAGCTAGTTTACAAAGCAGCAAGGAAAAATAATAATGCAATTTCATCTTTCAGAACACAGGGTTAATTCTCTACCTGGTTTGCTGTCATACACATGAAGAAATATTCATTTAATTGATGAGATTTTGAAATACAGAGGAAACTATTTGTGCATGTTATTTCTCCATTAAAGTTACATTGGGAATATTCTTCTTCAATGTTCTTTAGGAACCTGTATTTCCTATTAAATAATTCTTTCTTAAAGAGGTAAATTAACAAAATGTAAAAATAAATTTTAGAAAGAGAGCATCAGAAATGAGAACTAATGTGATTTACAGCTACAGATGAGTACTACATGCCGTATGCACTTGAAGCATTTGCCAAGAAAAACATATCAAAATATTTTTCACAGGGATGCTCATGTCCAACTTCAACCTAACATTTGAAACACTATAACAATTCATAATTTCTTAAGGGGGCATTTACAAATGCCAGGATGCACTCATCCTGGCCCCATTTTTCATTTTTTGCATCACACAAGTTTGAATTTAATGAATTCTATGGCCTTATTTACACTTTTCATTAACCATTGTGCTAAGACACAATACAGGAAGTTTGTGATCAAAGATGCTTTGAAAGATCTGACTGCACTGATATGTAGCTATGTATGTATATTTCATGTGATATGTTTATAAAATTGAAAAAGGCAGGTAGCATAGCTTACATACAAAGTGCCCTCTTGTGGTTCCAAGCAGGTAAACTCAAACAAACTTAAAATATAGTATATGTTTAAATGGTTTTCTAATATAGAACCACATTGTTTTAGGGAAGCAGTAGCAATTATTCTTCAGCCTAGAATTTTTCCTGCAGCAAATGCTACTAATGCTGTTTCTTTGGCCTACCTGCACACAGTGACTGGCAAGTAGCAGCTCTCTCTGTAACAGATCATGTCTGAGGCAGATGATATCTGTGCTACAGTAATGACATAGCTGCTGTGTAAACTTTGGGCCATTAAAGACATGGCTATCCTGTCCCTTTCTGACACAGCTCTTCAACCATACTGGAAATAAGGTTTTTGGCATTCTTCATTCAAACTGTCTAACAGTCCTAGCTTGCTTTATACTTTATTTCTCCAACAAAATTGAGCTCAGTGGAAGAAAGGTTTGCTAGAATAACTTAATGATGGCCTTATTAGAAATCAGTTAAAGGGCAGATATGGCCTGAAATATTGGCACTTTAAGATATATATTAGAACTTTCATTCGGTTCTCCTCGAAAATATTTTTTCTACCATACTGGGACATGGAACTTTCACTTACAAAGGCAAGAAATCTTCCAAGGCAAATAATAACCTTGCATTCTCAAGCAAGGGTTGAATCAGCAATCCACCTATTTTGCTTTAAAATGTGATTTACAAACCCATTACCTGTTCATTCAACAATAAATAAAAAGGGAGTTTTCTTAAAATGTAAAACTAAATAGTGAAACAAAAAAAAACAAATACAAAGAAACAATAAATACCTTTTTGGCCTTGGTTTTTTTTTCATAAGTCTCTGACAATGGTTTTCTTTTTTCCTGAGTGTTGTCTTTGGAGAATAAATATTCAAACTCAGTAGTATCAAGTATATCAGGTTCTTCTAGTGATTCCCATAATGTCGGCATAGCAGTTTTTCTATAAAGTGAAAGATAGTTATAAAATTTCCAATAAGCATTTATGAAAAACCATAAGAGAACTAACCATAATAGATTTAAAACTCAAAGCAACATGGACTGCTGGTATACAAACAGCATTCCTTCCCTATACCTTGCTCTTGTGAGGAGTCAAAATGTTTTGCAGAAGGCTGTGCCAAAAAGTTTAGCCATTTAGTATTCATGCCTGCTAAACTATCAAAATGCATTATTTATATACTACAGATTTTTTGTACAACAACCAAATATTACAATTGTGGCTTGTGGAAACACATCTTGAGAGATTTCTGCCACTACAACAAGGATTACAAGTATTTCAACAGCAGCTTTTTGCGTAATTCCAAGTAATATATTTAGACCTATAAAATAAACAATATCAATAAGTAGTGAACAAACTTTACTTAAGCATGTTTTAAGAGCATTTAGGGCCATTTGTATTGGGTTTGATTCACTTCATCTCAGCTGCACATGTTGTATCCTCATATTTATCTTTGTTGCAGTTCAGAGAAACTTAAGGCTTATATTTTAGGAGACTAACCACTATTCTGTTCCATTCAACCAACTGTAATTTCAAAATGTGGATTATCTTTCCTTCTTTTTTTTCGCCTTCCAAGACTAGACTGAGTGTTGGAACACTTTGGAACTTGTTTACACAGTCTCCTAGTTTCATGTGGATCTGGGGAAAATATTAGCTAGCGCTGCAAACAGGGCACTTGAATTCCAAATGAGCTTTGTTTCAAAAATTCAGTACTTTGTGGGACAAAACTTCTGAGTGCTCTTCTTATCAGTAGAAAGTGGGCCTACTTATTCCAGCAGATGTCACTAAAAGGCAGTGAAATTATTTGCAATTAAATAAAAGTTATTAAAGCTCCTGTAAAATACAAATGGCTGATGTCACTACACATACTTATAACAGATGTAATATGCAACAAAATGCAATACCTACCAATTAAGGGGAACCACAATTATTTTATTGGTTTTTAATTCAGGGTTTTTTCTACTTAAGACTAACCATACATTTATAATTGTGAATTGTTTAAGGAACTGCAATTTTTCCATTATCATCTGCTGATGCAGCATATTCTGTGTCACAGGACATGCTTACAGCTCCACAGCTCCACTCTCCCTGACATTCGCCGTCATGTCAGCCACACTGAAGAATGAAGGATTCTTTCTGGCTCTGTAACAAGAATTTTGAAGTCCTGGATAGCTGCTGTTCTGAGCAGCAGACCCTTGAAGACATTTCCAGTTCTACTGCAGACCATGAAGATGCTAGACCATTACATCTGGTTACCAGCAGTTCACCAGAAAGCTATGACTTAGCCCTCATCTTGCATTCAGCAAAAGCTTGATGAACCAGCAATATTTCAGAACAAACATTTTGATTTCAGTGAATAAGTACGAAGAATTACAATAAGGTTTATTCACGGACCAACTATTTCTTCACTATGAAGTAATTTTGCACTAGTAACCTCGTAAAGTGAAACCAAAATGCTCTAACTTCCTGCTCCAGAATATTTCAATGCAAGTCTGAAGCACTGAAAGAATACAACTGATATTTCATTAATTGTTTGTTCCTGTCAAACGTTTTATATAAAATATTAACACCTTACAATCCTTTATTATAATAGAATGATTTTTTCTTATCAAAACAAATTCAGACAAAAAGCTTTAAACTAAAATAAACCTCAAATTAAATACATTTAAATGTAGGTAATTACTTTAATAGTGTTCAAATATAATCCTATAAATAAAATAAAAGACTAATTTTAAATAATTTGTAATAAATAATCTATAGTGACTTATAATAATACAATACATAATCTGTAATAAATCACACATAATATAAAATCATAATATATAATACACAGTATGTAATATAATACAGTATGTAATATCATGTGTGTATATAGTATAGCATATATATAATTATGTCACATATAATAATTTATTAAAATGTTTAAAATAAACGTAGCATCTTTGTAACTGCACTTATGCTAAAATACCTCTGAATACAGATAATACTGATTTGAATTTTAAGACCCAAATAATCATGTCATTTCATTACATCTGTAACACAGGACCTGAATTTCATTTCATGATTCTAGCAATTCCTTGTAAAACTAGAAACAGTCTGTGTCGCTTAAGTATCCACAAAAGATACTTTTTGAGCCAACCCTCTTAATGGAGCTCTACATTACATTAATAAACACTTGAAGCAAAGTTGAATCAGCCAAAATCCCAAAGAGCAGCTGAGCAGCACTGAAACCACATACCACTGGGGCAGTGAGGTATCCATGCTGTCCCAGAAAGTGTACATGGGAGTCCTTCTTTTCTCCTGCCAGCTGAATAAACAGATGGCATAAACAGCAGTTGTGGGTTCATTTCAAAAAAGCTGCCCAGAAATTTTTTATTTATACCTGTTCACCAAATGATCCCTTATAAACAAATCAATACACCAATATGTTTCATAATAACTTTAGATTTGCTACAATCATATGTACTATTAGGCTACTTTCATAACATCAGAAAATGGTTTGGATTGAAAGGAACCTTTAAAGACTATCTAATGCTGTGTCCTGTCCTCCCCTCCCATCCTGCCAAGAGCAGGAACATCATTCACTAGATCAGGTTGCTCAAAATCTAATTCAACCTGACCTTGAAGATTTCCAATGATGAGGCATCCACAGCTTCTCTGGGTGACCTGTTCCAGTGACTTACTTACCTTGCTGGAAAAAGTTTCTTCCTTATATGCAATGTAAATTTACCTCCTTTCAGTTTAAAACTATTTCCCCTTGTCCTGTCACTATAGGCCCTGGAAAAAGCCTTTCTCCTTGTTTTTCATAAGCTCCTTTATATATTGAAAGGCATCAATAAGGTCCTCCTCTTCACTTCTCCAGGCCGAACAACCCTAACCGTCTCAGCTTTTCTTCATAGGAGAGCTGTTCCATTCCACTGATCCTTTTCATGGCCCTCCTCTGGACCTACTCTAACAGCTCCATGCCTTTCATCTACTGGGGGCCTCAGAGCTGGATGCAGTACTCCAGGTGGCACCTCACCAGAATGAAGCAGAGGGTGAGAATCACCTCCCTTGACCTAGTGGCCATGCTTCTTTTAGTGCAGCCCAGCAAAGGGTTGGCTGTCTGGGCTTGAAGCTCACCATGCCATCTCCTGTCCCATTTTTCATCCACTAGTATCCCCAAGTGTTTCTCTGTCCTCAATCCATTAATCTCCTAGAGTGTATTGATACTGGGGATTGCCTCCACTCAAGTGCATTACCTTGCACCTGGACTTGTTGAACTTCATGAGGTTTGCACTGCCCCACACCTCAGGACTGTCAAGGTTCCTCTGGATGGCATTCCTTACCTCAAGTGTAGCTAGAATTTTATCCCAACACTAAATCACAGCAAGATTGGTCATTTTTATTTTCTTCTGTAGTTTTTAAACTATAGATGTCTCTATCAGTACTGAGATTTGTCCATAATTGATGATTCATGCTACAGGTTCCCGAGCTGCATGTATTTATATATATGCTTTACTTTTCCTGCTCTGACAGAATTATACACAGAGTTTAAGTTCCAGTTTAACTGTTTCTAGAACTGGAATCATAGAGGATGACACAACATAGTGCTCTGAAGATGGTATCACCTGAAGTGACTGGAAAGTAAAAATGAAACTTTTAAGTTCTCAGCTGACCACTTTAACATTTCAATTCTTATTCAGATTTTTTAAAATAAAATACATCTTTCTAAAGTACTGGCTACCTTCTTTTCTCTTTAGTGCTAACTCTAGGAAGCACTCTGTCTCTAGAGTCGTCTATGGAGTACTTGGATTTTTGAGAAAATATCTGACAAAATTTCTTCCTGTCATACTGCACAGAATTTTCATTTATAGTGCGTATAATTTTAATTTATATTTAATATTTTAGAATATCTCATTATATATTTTTAGACTTCTAGAACAGAATCAATATTTTTTTAATATGTAAATTCCATGCCTCTACACTGTTTTGTTATACGTGCCTAGACTGTTAACTTTTTGTAAAGTCTTAAATAGTACACACATCCTTGCATCATGGCCTATAAATAAGGCCAAGGCTCTAAGACCAAATAAATATATTTTACCTGCTGCCTTGTAATTGTATCCGTGTCCAATACAAAGGCTTCATGGGACGACTAGGTTCAATGGCGGGTTTTCGAGGACCTTGGTTTGAAGATAAAGTGCTATTAAAAAAGAACCCAGGCCCAGGAGGTGGAGGAGGTGGAGGTAACCCAGATCCAGGCAGTGGAGGAGGAACAGGAGGTCCCAACCCTGGAAGCGGTGGTGGTGGCGGCGGCGGTGGTGCTTGAAAATTCCTACAGCCTTCAGAAAGTGGAGGTGGCAGTGGTGGATCAGATCCAAACTGAGATGTCAGTGAAGTCAGAGCCATTGGCAAAGGTGGTGGTGGAGGAACTAAACCTGGTAGTGAATTATCAGGAAGGGGAGGAGGAGGAGGAGGAGGAGGTGGTGGTGGTGGTGGTAGTGGTGGTGGTGGTGGTGGTAGTGACAGAGGAGTCAGCATTTGTTTTGGTTGACAAGATAAGACACTTTCTGAAGACTGTACATTGTAACTGTCCTTATTTTCACTTTGAGCAGAAATACTATGTGACAAAGAAGAAATATTAAGCTTTTTGGGTACTATTTGGTTATTTTTCACGGCTCTGTTTTCTTCTTCACTAGGCTTTATGAAAGTTTCTCTGTCAGTTTGTATACATACATTTCGATATGTCTTTGGTGGGTTATCATCTTCAGTAGAAACAGCAATATCCTTTGCTTTTTCATTTCTTCTGTTTAATTTATTATCAAGTTCATTCTTCAGGTGTAAAATGGTTTCCTCAAGCTGAGCAGTTGATACGGCATGTTCTCCACGAATATGGAATACCCTGAGTTCAAACTGAGACTGCAGAACAAGAACAACAAAAAAAAAACCCTTAGTGCAAATATTTTTCTGAAGTGTTTATTTTGTAGTAATTAAAAACCTCCATATTTTGGGCAATATTCTTACTTTATCCAAACCATGATGACATAAATACTTCACTTTCCCAGTTCTAAATGGCTTTATCACAAGCTATTAAACAATTGGACAATTAATAATCTTTAAAGAAATGTAAGCAGTGTGTGTTTCAAAAAAACATATTTCACGAGTAAATGTCTAGAACATCGATTCAGCAAATTCTAACCTGTGCCTTGATTTTAGGCAGACTTACTGGTTTTTAATTGCTGAATGCATTAATTAATAGCTCACTAGAGAAAAAAGGTACCTTCTTCAAATGCTATTGTACTTAATGACATGACTATTTAATTTAATTAATATATCATATACATGGTTGACAAGTTAGGGAATAAAAAATAAATTAAACACAACAGAGGTTGAAATTCCTCCCAAATTAAAGAACCAAACTAAAACACTTTCTCAATATATTGAAAAGGTTCTCACCAATTAAATTCAGGGCTATACATAAATTGTCCTTGAAATTTATCTTTACTATTAGACTAAAACTTCATTTCTACCAGATATATTTTAATCTACAATTCAGCAAAATAAATCTTAGAACCAAGAGGATTTCACTGAGGTAGAAGGAAATAATGATAGTTCAAGAATATATGTAAGTAAAGAAGAAAGAAAACCCACTTCTTACTATATATCAGAAAAATACAAGACATTTGACGCAGAAATATCTCCTTTAAATAACCCAATCCAGTGCTGTTATTCCAGGTTATTTTCCATGGTTCTTTCAGGATCTCTGTACAAAGGGAAGCCAACATTTCAACAGAGGTAGCTAATGAGTTGTGATTTTCCCAAATTCCTGCAAGCACAGCAATTTATGGTTGAAAAATTCCCACATAGTTCTGGACAGAAGTGGCAACATAGCTCGCCCTATCTATCATTCCAACTTGAGTATTAAGTCAGAGTTAATACTTTACAGCATTAATTAATATGCATCCAAGTCATGCTCAGTATGGCAAATACAGCAGTATAATATACTGTAGTTTTATATCATATGAAGAAGCTTGAATAGAAATACAAACAATATATCTTATTTCTTAAAGCAGTAGGAGAAGCTTTCATTCTAATAAATTTCTTAAGATAAAGTCCAAAGTAAACAAACTGAAAGGACTGGATACAAAATACTCCTTTTCTTGACTGCCAAGTGTAAAGATGGGAAATCAAGTTTAAAGCCTTACAAAGAAATAATCAAAGAGACTTGTATTGGAAGCTACTCAATTTCTATCAGTTTTCTAGAAGAACTAGGACTAACACGTACAAAAAATAGAACATTTTTTGCTTGGATTTTTTTTTCTCTTCCTACTGTTACTCCATCAAAGTTTGCTGTTGCTCAGATTAATTATTAGTTCAGTTCAACTATCACAAGATTTTCTGCCATTTGAACTGCTCCAGAGCAATCACCTTTCTTTTTAAACTCGGCACACTGATCCATAAATGAGGTAGTGAAATAAGTTTGCCTTAGGGAATTTAGCTGCTTTGTTTATCATAGTATTTTGCCCTGCTTGGACATGAAAAACTCCCCAGCAGAACAATTTACTTTGAACATTAAAGATTATCCCAGCAGTAAATCTGAAGTCACCTCAAAAACACACTGTAAAAACAAGCACAGTATTTAACATAACTACTTCTTACATTTTACTGGGCATGAAAGTAACTGTGGTAGTATTATATACCTTTTCAACTACAGATATTCAGTCTTTAATTTACAATATAAAACTGGTGGTCTAAACTCTAAATTATATTTGAGGTTATAGTTTTATGTTTTGTCTTGCTTTCTACTCTTTCACATCTTCAACATTATTTTATGTTAATAAAAATAATAAAATTATTAACATAAACAAGAATTAAAGCAAGCTTAACAAAAAGGACACATTGCGAACCTGTGCTGAACATCTCATCAATGGAAAAGATCAGCCCTGTCCAACTGACTGCAATACAACAGAGCAAACTACGGCTAATAGGTAAAATAAAAGCTACCCTTTAAAAAAAAAATCACCCCACTTACTAAAATACCTGATATTGCTCTGATACAAAATGACTATGCAAATACCCCAAATACTGATAGACTATAACCTGGAAAAAGTTTTTGGAATGGCTTTCTAATATCTGTCTGTCTTTTCTCCTCACACCCAGCTCTATGCCATTTGACTCCAGTGAGTCCATTTTTGCACCTGCCAAGTGACTCGACACAACAGACAAAAAAGGCGAGATAGATTTTTTGAAGTAACACCGACAGCTCAGCCTTGGTCTTGTGAGACTCAAGAACATATGAAGCATATGTTCAAAAGAAGAAAAAGCCCAAAAATTGAATCAGTGTGCCGTACTACCATTAACCATTACAGTCTCTGATGATGAAGCATGTAATTAATCACAAAAGAAAAAGATTAAATCCTCTCATTCAGAATGTAATCCACAGGTTGTCTAAATGACTTTGTAATTATAACGTGGATTGACGCAGACAAATCTCAATATCAGTGTGACAGTGTTTCTCTGTGCTCTGATAGGTGACAGAAGGATTACAGCTTCATTTGACACAGTCAATATAGTCAATCATAGCCTACATAGTCAAATAAATGCAATCAACTCAAGTGTATTTGTTGTGATACTGCTTTATATAGTGTGACCTCATACAAAGACTTTCTAACCATGACATAGACTTGCTCTGATATGAAAAATTTTAGAACAATTTGTATGTATGAATATGAAGAAACTATAAACGTCTACAGCAGTCTAAATTAAAAAATAAGTTACTGGCTTGTAATTAGTCAAGACTTAGTTGAACCATAAAAGTTTTAAAAAATCCTGAGAAGTGCAACAGTAAGACATAAAAAGAGTTCTTTAAAACACTGCTTAGAGCAAACAATATGCAGAACTTCAGCTTTGAAGCTAGCAAGTTAATGCCTCACTGTTAATGCATAATATTTTTTCACCATTGTTTAAAGTGGAATTCTACTCTGAACAGCAACTGTGTAAAAATGACACGTCCTTAATGAACAAAGCTTTTCTATGTATATCAGAGACAGACCTCTTCTTTAACTGAGAAACACACACTTTTACTACTTTTTACTCTAATTAGCCTGGAAAAACAACATAGAGAGAAAGTGAGCTTAATTTTATGCCCTTCTCGGACTTTATACACGGATTGTTACATCTAATTAGTTACTCATGTCAAGCCATGGGACTGAAAAAATAGGGACAAAGAAGACACAGTGTATCTAAGGATATGGTTTTTATAAGTGGAAATGGTTGAGGAGTGTGTGTGTGTGTAAAAAAAAAAGCAAGCAAGCAAAAGAAAAGAAAAAAGAAAAAAGATAAGAATTCTTGAGCTGTGGATGAGAAATATTTTTAAAGACTTTACAGCTTTTTTTTCTTAATAGTATTTTGGCCATCAAAGTCCTGTACACAGAAAAGAGCAGAAAAACACATTTTTCACAGACAGCCTCTGACTTTTTGGGTTTTTTCTTCATTCTAAGTAATTTAATCTTCAGTTTTTGGAAGAGTTCACACTTTTTATTCTTGTATTGTGTTGACAAAGAAAAAAAAAAGTCTTTTTTTGTTTAATCTCTGTCCTTGAAAAAACATACATTTGTTTTAAATTTTAACAACAATCAGAGATTTAGCGAAGGATTTTTCAAAGAAAAAAAAATTAAACCTGTGCCAATATTCATAAAAATCAGAATTCCTCTCTAACAAATACCTCAACAAATATAATCGGTTACATATGGAACATCACCATTCTCGACGGTACACAGTAAGGATTATTTTTACACCTCATAGTAAAAAAGTAAACTAAATGATCATTCTCAAACGTTTCCAGAACTCTTAATATTTGTATAGGCGACGTACGCAGAGACCAATTCTTTTTCTAATTTAAAAATATTAAATACATAATTTTATAGAGGAAGCATAACAAAAGTAGTTGGGAGGAAATTTGACCATAGTGGGGAGACTGAATATTGTTTTTCTTTTATATTTTTGAATATCTAGTTTTTTAAAAATTACTGGCATTTGAATAGTTGAGAAAGAAATACAGCCTGATAGCCAGTAACTTTGGAGTACAAAATTACTGGTATAGCATATTATTAAAATATATCCAGTTGCATTGCAACATACAGAATTTTTAAAAAAATATCATGTGCATGTCTTATATACAGGACTACCGATGGTTTCAAATTACCATAACATTTTAAGCACTAATTCACTTCAAGTTTGATAACTTAAATATTTACTGTCAAAATACATATTTCATAGCATATCAAACTTGATATAAATTCTGATTTAATAACATCTGCAATTACTCGTAAAGATTGATCTGTGATTCTTTGAACAATTAACATTTCTACAGAATATATTATGAAGAGATCCTCAATCTCAGATGACTACACGAGCAAAACCCATAAACACACACCAAGCATGTGGCTATTTGATTACACATCAAAAAAATATCTCACAACTAAGTTGCACAACTATTCAACACCGCAATTAAACTGCATTTTGACACGCCAAGTATCATTAAACATCCAAAAATCAAAGCAGATATTTAATAATTCAACTATTTACACTGAGCATTCTAGATTTAAAATAGAATTGTAAAAATCTCTATTTATGTAAAGGAAACCCAGATGATCAAGTTGTATATCCTGTATTAAGAATTTTAATAATTAAGAATTTGAGTATATGAGCTACACATTTAGAATGGCTCCGAACGCATCTTCCATAACGAGTTCCTTACTTCATATTGCATACCCATACTTAACAGATGGACTGCTACATTTAAACAATGCATATTCATATAATGAGTGAAGTCGTTAAAAGCCGCTTCATTATAAAGTGCACGTTACTGTGGGCTGAAGGAAATTGTTACAGAAAGTGTATCAGAAGACATAAAGCTCGATGCAGTTAACATGTCCAGCCTTTATAAGATGTGTATTTATATCATCTGAAGCTCTGAGTCTTTAATGTAATAGATTGTCAGTATAACTACACAAGTTGTGTGAATTACCTACCAGGAAGAAGAAAGTAATGCCATCAACCTGGAATTTTGAATTCACTCATGAATTTCACTTTCCTATGCCACCAATCCTGATGGATTAAAAATAAAACAGAACCTTGTATTTCTAGACTGGTATAAATGGAAGGAGGTGATAAAGAAGTTTTACTACTTCTTTCCTCTCACACTTTTTTGACTGTACTGAAATAATTGGTACTATACACTCAAATTCATCTTTTTCCTTGTTCCATCTGAAAGAAACATCATCTAACCAAGATTAACTTCAAAAAACCAAACAACTGAATGAATGTACGAGAAAGTAATGCACTCAACAGAAGTAGGTATTTAAAGGCAACCTAAGGAAAAAATATTTTTGAGGAAAGCACTACACTTTGTGCTCTGCTGTGATTTCTGGTACTTTCTTATTCTGATTTAGAAAAGCTTCAAAAGCAGCAAACTGCACTTCTCAGAACACAGAAGATCAATGAGAAAATGAAGGTTTTAACACACTATCTACTCTCTCTACTGCGAAAACATTCAAATCAGGTACAACCTTTTTGTAGGGAGTATTTAAATTAACGTGTTCCTACGTTTTCTTGTGTATTTAAATGTTTCTAATCTTCCAATTCATTGTTCCACTTGCAGTCAAAACTACTGTCGATGTTAACCAGTGACATGTTCTTCATCCCACTTCAGAATTAGTCTGCATTTATAACACATTTTGAATACTTTTCTATAGACTCAATTCTGTATACTAAATTAAGAAACATTTATTAACAGCTTCAGCTCTTCACACTCTTGCCTCTGTACAGTATATCAGGTGTATTACACTTTGCTTTGCTCCTGAACTCACTTCCTAGCAATTCTCAGTGCTGGTTTTCTCTTCTTTACTGTTTTATCTTCTCTCTGTATTCAGCTGTAAACTACATGGGAAATGTGTCACTGAAATTACTATATTCATTACAGGCTTGTTGTCACCTTTCGTTTTTATTATATTACTATGAAATTATTTTTCTCTTAAATTAAGTACCATTCTTTAGCAATTTTTTCTTTATATACGCTTTCTGTCTTTTCCTCCTCCTCTTCATTTTCCAGGGCACAGAATCAGCAATAGCCCAGCTACCATCCTTTCCATTGCAAAGGCTGTGCGCCTGTCTCCAACAAGAAGTGTTCGTCAACAGATCTGCAAGCTTTTGGCCACTGCATTTGTACATATTGAGTCTAATGGCTCTATTAAGTCAATAAATAAGAAATAGCTGGGTTTGTTTATTTTTTTTTTCTAAAAAAGAAGTGCACCATAAGTCTAGAAAGAAAAAAATCCAAAACTGGAACTTTTTAAGTAAGCCTTCTGACAAAGGAATATAGCAGGAGCAGGAACTGAAGCTCACTCTTTTGCAACAGTGCTAAGCTTTCAGTGACCATGTAAGTATAAAGCAAACAAACACACCTCCGTTTTGGTCACTATAGGAAGAGTATGAATAGTCACGCACAGCTGATCTATGACACAAGCCCTCTTCAGCTATTTTCTGACCAGGATCATGTATTACAAGGGACTATTCAGTACAAGATACAAACTACCCATTGCATTATGGACTGCACGCAGTCCCATATTCTTCTGAGCTTTGGCTTTTCCTCTTACAGCTGTTCATGGATCTTTGATTCTCTCTTAATGTTCTGTCCTCTTTTCCATGCTCCTCAGTGCGTTATTTCCAGGTTGTCTTTTTGCTTTCCTCATCCCGATTGCCTGTGTTTGCTCTGTAAATGTTTCTGTAAAATTAAATTCATCAAGGTTTTTTTCCTGCACATATACAAATCCTCCCCTCAATCCTTTCCCTGTTAATAATTACCATCCAACCATTTTACACAAATGAACTCACTTGGAGGATTTTGTTATACAATACATAGGTCACAACGGCTCATCTCTAGGCCTTGCTTTTCTACAGCTGTCCTGTTTACATGTGACTTTACTCAGATGAACTTTCTTATTAAGAATAAAAGCCTTCCTCTCTCCATAACTTCTAATCAAACAACCAGACAGAACCCTTGATGCATCCTTGAAATTTCTTGGTAACATCTTAAAATCCTGCAAACATTATGAGTTCCAATATAAGGAAAAAGATCTCTAACAATGTTCATTATACTCCACAGCATACTCCACATTTACGATCATATCATGTCAACTTCAGCAGCTGGTAAGTGACGTACACTACTGTGGCATCTCTGTGCCCACAGAGAAATCTCACTGGAATCTAAATCCTTCTTGAATCTGATATATATATAACAAGCAGAAAATTATTAATGTCTTGGATTCACTAACTTCTTGCCACAGGCACATTTGCTAAGCAATGTCATCCCTTATGATAAATTATAGCACTTTTGAAAAACTGAACTAAATACTCCTTAATACAACCAACTGCTAACAACATGTGCTTAAAGGGGTAAATTTCACATTATTAATAAATAAATATTAACAGTAGATAATATATTTTATGTAGATTTTATATGTTTGGTATGTAACTAATAAAATTCCCACTAATACTCGAGTTTCTGTTCATTTCAGTGAATGGTTTTAAAAAGAATAAGATCATGGATATATTCGACTGATAAAAACCAATATAAGCCTGCATGTTTCTCAGGTAGCAGTGAGGAGGAAATACCACACCCACTAGAATTTTGCAATTAAGTGGCGTACAGCAGCTACCAGAGGCCATGTAACATCCGTGTCATGCCACACAGAAAGGGAGCGACCGCTGCAGAAAGTGAAAAAGTCCCCATGTGTTGATGCCTCCTAAACGTAAGTTAGCTCAGGCGAGGAAAAATAAACCTCACACAGTTTGTAAAAAAAGGTTAGCCAGCTAAATTCAGACCTGCCTGTAAATTTAGAGGAAAACTGATACTTTCATGGACAATTTTGGTAAATGGATATTGGTAAAATCTCTATCAATTGTTAGGATTTGTTAAACATTTAAATTCTGCAGAATGAAAGGAGGCAATTCAGCATGCAAGATATCAATAAATGTAAATGCTACATAGCATACAACTCCTCTAGTGTTCAAAAGATTATATCGAAGGAAGAAAAAAATAAATATATTGCCATTCAAGTATTTTAAAATAAAAATACAGGCTGGCATTTAAAATTCTATTTAGTTAATGAACTGTTTTGATGACAATTTACTTTAAAGAAATTATAGTATTTCTCATTTGACAAGGAAATTTTATGGATCATTACTTTTACTGATACAATGATTTGGCATGTAGAATGTCAAAACAATGCAAAAAAATGGGTGCAAACAAGTTGAAGATGAAGTTTCAAGTGACGAAAACTACAGAGGCAGTATGGATCCAATAAGAAGACTGATTGTGGTAGAGAGCAAGTTGTCTCTGATCTTGGAAGAATGTTTTTGGACACCTAACAGCTTTTTTATTACTGTGGCTGATTAAAATGAAAAGCCTTACTACTAAAATGTTCTTTTTGATGAGTTTTTTTGCCATGAACTATAGACCTTGCAGTCCAGTGGGATACAAATCCTTTGATCCTGTGCAGTCACATAAATTCAAAGTCGTAAAACAACATTGAATTTGATTTTATTAGTGTGGCTGATGTTGCCAGAATTGTAATGCAACCTTGTTTTTCCTCTCTTTCTTTTCTTTTCTTTTGGGGAGGGGGTGGAAAGGAAAGGAGAGTTTACTGTCAACATTTCTTCACAGTATAAAGAACTAATTTCTCTGGCAAGCAGATTCCAAGATTAAGCCATTATAATAAAACCTTGTAACTACATAGGAAAGTAGTGATATTTATCACGTTCTGCTAAGCTGTAACTAATGATTTGGTTGAAGCAAAAATCAAAGCAAAAAGCAGTGGAAGCACAGCACATGGAAAAGAGTAAGCAAAGATAACGTTATATCTAATAGATGGATAAGGAGTATTCATAGTTGCTCGTTTTCAATAGGAAATATTAAGTCAAACAGTGCTATGAGTTTGCTATGAGAATAAAGTAACACTACACTTTTAGAAACTGAAGGTTTACATTTGGTATGAACATCATTTTTGTCCCAAAATCCCAAGAAAACCTACACTGAGGAGATGGCGAGCCCCCCCACCAGGATACAGAGAGTTCACACATGCAGTGAAAACAAACACAAGATTTCGAGGTGCAGGAAACCATACTTCCTAGCTATGGAGGAAAATTAATTCTCTGAGGCCTTTTTGACACCAGATATCAAAATTACAACAGAGGTTTGATTTGCCTTAAGGAACACATTCACCTAAAAGAGGTGCTCTGATGCTTACAATTATCACATTTCTCAAGTGTTATAGAGAGGGACCTCAACACGTACAAACAAATGGATTGCTTGGTGAAACAGTCCTTCCTTCAACATAAAATATATTATACTACAAAACATACTACCTCTTTCTCCATAGCAAAGGAAATGAAGCCAGAGGTTAATGTCACAGTCAGCTTCACATTCAGAAAACAACAGTTTTCATTAAAATATACACTTTCTATGGAAGTACAAAAAAAATATATATTCCTGTCCTCAACTTTGTTATAGTAAAGTTTTTTTCATAGTGACAACACTTCCTTCAATTACAATGATTAAAGAGAAAATTGAAACTGCAGATATGATTGTCAAGGCAAAGTATATGAGGAATCCTATACACAAGGTCACTTGCCATGACTTCTATCTTAGTTTAACCAGAAAGCTTCCAATTCTGCAGATACTATCATAAACTTCAGTGGTAAAGACAGAAGACAGTCTTTAAATATTCACCAATTGGGTAACATTTAGAAGAAATTCCAACACTGTGTTTATAACTAGTCATCTTTTTAAAACTGTAGAGATGTTTATGAGGCACCCAGCAGCTAATGATATCAGTACAATTATCTAAGATACATGATGAATTCCAGAGATTCTACCTGGACAAACAGAAATATAATGTCAATCATGGAAATACCTCTGCAATTGCATAAAAGGTACACTTACTTTAAACTAATGTCTACTACATGCTAATCATGCGTTGTCACATTATGCTAGACATTCCCATTATGGAATTTTAAGAAAATACTGCACACAACAGAGTGTGTTAAATGACCAACCTTGGCCAAGTACTCAAATGGAAAACCATAAGTGTGGTTGTCAGAGCAACCTTAATTTTCTACCTCTCCATCAATGTTTCCATGTAGTGCAGCTATGCAGAAACCTTCTCTTCAACAGACCCAGTATCTTAATTCCGTGAACATGATGGGAGTTACTCCAGACAATAATTAAAAACTGTATTATGAAAAAGCCATAAGCTGTTCAGACTTCTGCATTATGCGTGCTGAGGTAGAAAGGTATATAATGAACAAAGCATGGAACCTAAGGAAGAGCCACAACAGTATCACAGTAAAGGCATGGTACTGCAGTCCTGAAAAAGCAGATTCTGTACTTGCTCAAACTGCAAAGTTCCTGCAAGATGAGTCACAAGTAATTTTACTCGGTGTTTCTCAAGTGGTAACCAATTATGCACCTTATTTCTAATCACTGATCTTCAGATTTTGGGATCCGATTTATAGTTGCAAGGTAAGTTAAAAATGAACTGTGATATTAATGTTTATTGAAACATAGGCATCCCAATAAATTTGTTATACCTTAGGTCCTATGCATAACATATGAATAATACTACTACATGCCTACTGAATATTGTGAAATCCAATTTCTACATATTAAACTTCCTAACAAATTAAAACTTGTGACACTGGAAAATCTATAATTAAACTATCTATATTCAGACCAAATTCTGATCCATAAACAAGGGAGGTTATTTCTCGCTGACCAACAAAAATAAAATCAAATACTGAATAGACTGCATTCATTCCAGGTTATATATTTTGTGGGAAATTTTCCACTGACAAGTAAAACCTGTATCATGATGCCCAGATCCAGCTCTCTGCAATCCACCATCTCCCACACATTTCTGTCTTAACTTCCAGACTACTTCTTTCTCCCTCCAGCCTGCCAGTCTCATCCTAGTATATCCACTCACCATTTTCTGCCTCAAGTTCCACCTCTCACATCTCCATACACCTTTTGACCTCTTGCAGTTTGCTTCAAATTCCAGTGGCTTTTCTTTCACTTTTCCTCATCACCAAAAAGGGGGCCAGGAGGCTCCTAGCTTTCAGCTTCAAAGCATCCTTGGACCACCTAACCAAGAGTAACTTACGGCACCCATTGACCAGCGAAACTCAGTTTTGCCTCAGTGTTACTACATAACAGCGTTGGTGGCTTTGGTCTCTTTGGTGGCTTTGTGGAAATGAGACATGAAATATCTGGTCCTCACCAGAAGATGCAATAAGTACAATGAGCACTAGATCTGCAAAGTCAGAAAGTGCTAAAATCTGAAGTCTTTACTGAATATGAGAAAAAAACCCCCACTGTTTTGTTTCACAAGTTGGAACTTCCAATTTCAGATATATTTCCCACTATCAGCAAAATGTTCATCTTTTCCAAATTTGCCTCTGTTCTAAAGCCAGGAATATTAGAGCCAATCAAAGGAAAGTATGCCAGAATTTTTAGACTACAGAAAATTATGTATTTCATTCAGAGAAATGGCTTTCAATTATTAGATTCAAACAAACATCTGGTGCAGTAAATTTCAAAAGGCAGCCAAGTTTGGAATGAAGGCATGGTACTACATGTTTTCAAAATCAAAATGGTAAGATAACACTGGTACTGCTTAATTTTTAGTGGCTTTTCTACTCCAGTGATCTCATTTCACTTAATTTCTCTTGTAGACAATTGTTTCCTATGGTACAGAGGTCTTTCAGATCAGACAAAATAAAATGTCATCGTGCTCACAGTAAGTGTTCTACTTTATTCTCCTGAGTGCATAACATATTTAGTCAAGGTGGAAGGATAAATCAACTTTCACGAACTATGATAAACACAGAGGTTTATAATGATTTCTTTAGAAGAGTTTCATTTTATCCCTAATTAAGCAGAGTGCTTTGTAATGTCTCTAAATTTCAGGAGCACAGCCTTACTGAAGATTTAAGGCTATAAATTATCTTGTTGATCCGTATGTGCATTTTAAGTACATAATACCACGTCCGTGTCCACGTGCTGAAAGCGACTTAAAGAGATTTTAACTGTATTCAATATATGGAATATGTTCTGTGGTTACTTCTTTAAATAAACAGGACAATCCTTGGATCAACATGTGGAATTAACAGCATTCTGCAGCTGACACGAAGTCTAAACAATCCAAGTTCTTACAGTGAAATCATATTGATGAAAATAATAGAGTGGAAAGTAGCAGTGGAAAAAAAACCCAACACAACAAAAGCCAAATCTTCCTGGATCTTCAAGCTATCTGATTAGAAAACAATCTCAATGTAAACATATGATTAAAGGAAAACAAGGATGAAAAACACCCATTGCATCAAAAATATGGAAAATAGGAAGTCACTGGAGGAGAAAGGGGAGAAATTTCCTGAATGTAAGTATCAGAGCACAGCAGATACAACATCAAGAATTCGACTACAGGTTATGACATGACTATAGGCATTATAACTTATTTTTTGAAATGCTTTTGAAATATAATTAAGCACTGAATTGAGGAATATCTTCATATGCCATGAAGAATCATTCCACATTTCATTTCTGAATGAAGATGCACTTGTCAACAAGTGGTTCCAAAGAGATTAAGGAGCTCTTGCTAGCTTTTTGGGTGAAATGTACTGGTTTACTGTACTTGTCCTTTGCTACCATTCCTTAGTCTGCTACTCCACCTTCTATAGCACTGGCCATGCTAATTTTTCATTATAGGGTGATTTTTCTCCTGGTGGGATTTTTCTGTTTCAGGAAATACATATTTTAAAGATAATCTTGCTCCCATTGTCTAGGAGTCTTAGGAGTACAAAAATTGATATTATAATACAATTTCATAGGCTTTCAGTCTCTTCTTTCTCATGTATTTCATGTTTTTCTCAATCTTTATATTTTCACTGTCTCTCACTGCAGAGAGGCTCCACAATGAAATGAAAGAATTTCTTCATGAGAACAAAGTAGCCAAGAAGAAGATTCATAGAGACACAGCACACACACAATGGTGAAACCACAGATTTAGCAGCTAAGCACAGGAAAGTGAACCATTCCAAGTGAGACAGGAGTACATCAATAATTAACCACAAGCTGGGAGACCTTCATAACACCACATGGAAATGCCGAAAAGCCCAAACAGCTCATTAGGAAAGACTGACTAATAAAGCCTTGCTGACCTTGGCTGCACCTTTGAGCTGCAACCCCGTTCCACCAGAAGCATACACGATACTGATTTTCTATTTGTGTGTGCTGGGATATGAAAATCCAGCGAAGACCGCATAAAGCAGCCAGCCACATTACAGACGCATTTCATCTTGTGAAGGTTAAAAACAACAATCTCAGCATCCTGAAGTAAAATGTTATTACCAAAAGTCACCAAATTATCCACTTCTTAAATGTTGTTTTGCTGAGTACTAAGACATATCAGAGCTTTCAGCACTATTTGTATTCA